GGCCTTCCGCATAGCCCTTAAAATCTGGCTGTTCCGACAGGCCTGGGGCTAAAGACTTGCAACCCCACTCGAATGGTATGGCTGTTCCCCTCCCTTGAATTGTGAGCTGCCCTGAGTCCCCTCAGGGAAAAGGGCGGCATACAAATAAAGTAAAATCTAAAAAAAAATCTAAAATCTAAAGGATCATATCCATTTTTTCAGGACTAACATGTTTAAACTTCTCCCAGGTAACAGTGTAAGGTCACTTTAGTGGGACTTAAAAATCCAAAATTCCACTCTAAATGAAACCATGTAACTTTGTCCACCCAATGCTGAATATATTCTTCACAGTGCCTTGTAAGGAATGGTGTAGTCCCTACCTACCTAAGAAGGAACAGTTTATTCTAAGCAAGGTCAATTGCCAACACTTGGAAGATGCCACAAGAGCAATAAAATAAGCATGTTTCAAGATCCTTATCATGAAGAAAAGCCATTATTTATGTTCCTTTGTACTATCAGTTGAACCACATATTAATTGGAACAGGGCATTTCTTGAATAATGAGAGGAGATGTAAACCGTAGTTCGATCTATCCTGTGGGTCAGATTCTCTGAGGGAGAGAATGGTATCCTCTGCTTTGAAGTGAGGCACTGGTGCACCCCCTTCTCAATAGGCTATCCCTGAAACCAACACTTTTAGATAATTATTACTTAAAATACTTAAATTCCTTAAATTAGATTAAATTGCTACACCATTACTATTTTTTCATCACACTAAGAGCCTGTGAGGTAGACAAATGTGTTTAGACTCAAGTATGTCATTAAACATCTATTGCTAAGGCTAAACTTAAATCTTCCAGGAACCATAAGTATTAAAGTCATAAAAATAGAATTTAACATTATAGGAATGACTCTGGCTTTAACCCAGTCAAAGAAAAAAAAATGTGGATAGAGAAAAACTATACTCCTAATTCAAGTTAGTTGCTGTTTAACAATTTTTGAAACATATACATATTATAAGAATGAGCATACTATTACGATGGATAAATTATATAAATATACAGTCACTTGAATTATAACTCAGAGGTGGATATTTCAAATAGGAAAGAGACATATCTTATTTCCATGTATCTCCATTTTTTTTCATGAAAACATGCAAATCAAACTGGATTAGTGTGCAGTGAGTGGTTTATGTGAATAATAGCCTTGATTTCTATTAGAATTTCTGAACTGTAACTGATTTTCACATGATTAGTTTCATTTCTGTCCTTTCCATTCCTGTTAACATGTAGAAATTGAGAAAAGACATAGCAGAACCAATAGCATACATACATCTTTCACAGTTATATTTTTTAGATGTTTAAACAGAGCAATTTTCAGGGGGAAAATACACTTGCTATTTATTTGATTAAAATTATTTCTATTTCTCTGAAATTCTTTGGAAATATCAAGCAAAAAATTTAATTGTCATGAGTTATTCCTGATTTTGTTTTAGGTAAAATAACAAGTGGCAGTCCTGATAATCAAAGCTGATGAAGTTTTGGACAATCGGTCATCTAAAGTTGATAAATTTATAGTTTCATCATCTTTAATTGGGGAATTCCAATGACATTATTTTTCAGGCTTAGATAGTGATGATAATATGAAAAAGTTAGGTTATTCTAATAATAGAGAGCTGCTGTACTTGCACAAAGTCTGAAGCACAATTTTGAAAATATGAGCAATTTTGTTAGAGACTTGCAACATGATACACTGTTTAACCGCTGAAATTTATTACAAAGGCATAGTTTTATTCATGTTTAGAGAGGGCCAGTGAAACGTACTTCCAATAAATATGGAAATGATAGCAGCCTTTTAAGTCAGAAGTACCATTAACATGTTGCGCAAACCTCACTTAATTCTGTATAATTTGCTAGAGTCTGAGAGCTCACTGGGTTGCTGATTTAGTAACCTCTGAAAGGGTTTCCAGAGTGAGGAAAGCAACAATATAGTTCTTCTATTACAAATCACGAACTTGGTGTGCTGAATTTATGCATGTTGCTCTTACTGACATTTGCTTCCACCAGGCACACACTGATATCCATTTGTCAGAGCTGCAAGTGATTCATGCAGCTCCTTATGTTCTACCCAGTTTTTAAAAATAATCTGAAGGAGCATATGGTAACTGTGCTGTGTCTATTACTTCAGCTGTATGAGATATATAACTGACTTTCATGGAATCTATGCCTCAACACGTAGAAAGGCATCCTTCCTAAGAACAGGAATCATTTTTACAGGATTTGCAACTGCTAAAGAATCCAAGATAGGTTTTTTTAGTCCATGGGTTAAATTCACAGAGATGGCAGCTAAAACATATAGCAGAAATACTGAACCTGAATCTACAATTTTGGTTCTTTCGCATCTTTACTCATCCTTGATTTGTTATTAAAAGATAAAAGTTCCCCTCACACATATGTGCTAGTTGTTCCCGACTCTAGAGATGGTGCTTATCTCCGTTTCAAAGCCGAAGAGCCAGCACTGTCCAAAGATGTTTCAGTGGTCATGTGATCAGCAATACTAAACACTGAAGGCACACAGAACACCGTTACGCCGAACTGCTGACCTTTCTGATCGACAAGCTCAGCATCTTAGCCACTTGTTATTAGAACATTACTAAAAGAAACTGCTTTTCAAATTTCTTATCTAACTATATTAACTGTCAAAGTTGCTACCTGTAATAAAGAAAAAAAACTTGTTCTAATGCTATGGATGCATCTTGTAGAATAATATAGATGGCAGAATGCATTTTACATCTAATATACCATAACAGAATCAGCTAATAAAGTAGAAATTGCTTAACTTGGGTGGGCTTGGAAATTAAGCAATAGCAATAGCAATAGCAGTTAGACTTATATACCGCTTCATAGNCACACACACACACACACACACACACACACACACACACACACACACAGTTTTTTTTTTTAAAAAAAAGCTAAAAAATATAAAATAAAAAAACCTTCCTGGAAAATTCCCATCTTTTTCTCCTTTCTGTCTTGTATAGAAGAACACCCGGGAAGTGGTAGCCATCAAATGCGTGAGTAAGAGAAATCTAAACAAGGCCTCTGTCGAAAACCTGCTGACCGAAATTGAGATCCTGAAGAATATCCGGCACCCTCACATTGTGGAGTTAAAGGACTTCCAGGTGCAAAGCAGAAGAGGGGGGGGAGGGGTCTTTTGCCCGAGGTTGAGGTATGAGTACTGGTCTTAAGTCCTTTTTTTCAGTACCGTCGTAACTTGGAACGGTTGCTAAACAAATACTTGTTAAGTCCAGGACTAACTGCAAAAGAGCCAAAACCGTTTCTACTTAGAGTACCAACTCCTAAGGTGCAATTCTGCACACGTATATTCAGAAATAATTCTCACTGGGGCTGGGTATTGCCTCCATGAGGACTAGAAACTTTGGGGGGGGGGAAGAGGTTGGCTCGATGCGAATGGGAAAGTAGATGTGCTTCTGATCAACTTGATGGAGTTTTTTCCCCCCCTTCTCTTCTCTTTCTTCTTTTAGTGGGACAAGGAGTACATCTACTTAATCATGGAATATTGTGCTGGAGGGGATCTCTCCCGTTTCATTCGTAGCCGGAGGATTCTTCCAGAAAAAGCAGCTTGTCTATTTCTTCAACAACTGGGTGAGAAATAAGGAGAGAAACTTGTGGACTTCAACTCCCAGAATTCCCCAGCCAGGGTAGGTACCCTGGCTGGGGAATTCTGGGAATTGAAGTCCACACCTCTTACAAGTTGCCAAAGTTGAATACTCCACGTTTAGAACGGTGTTTCTTTAAGACGGTTGAACTTCAGCTTGCAGGCTGGGGAATTCTGGGAGTTGAAGTCCAACCTCCTGAAAGCTGTTGAGGTTGGGAAACGCTGGCTTAGGGCTCTAGTCCTCAAGAATGTGGTCTGTTTCTGAGAGCATTTTCCTGTTTTTCAACGCAGCTTGCGCCTTGAAGTTCCTTCACGATAAGAATATCTCCCATCTGGACCTCAAGCCCCAAAATATTCTACTGAGTTCCTTGGAGAAACCTCATCTCAAGCTGGCAGGTATTGAAAAAAAAACAGAAGTAAGGCAGGCTGCGCTCAATTTCTCATTGAAATCCCTTCAAGTGGATTTTGCTCGCAAGTAACACAATCAAGTAGGGTTTGACTTTACTATTTTGGCCGTAAATCATCATCATCATCTTTTAACAATCCCATAATCCCTTGCGGGGTGGAGTCTGGCCAACTGAAAGGATCGGAGTGTTTCCTGGCCGGATGCCTTTCATGTCGCCATTGCCGAGCTATATCCAGCAGATATATTCTCATAGTGCTGAGAGAGAGAAATATCTGTCTCTCCCTAGGATGGAACTCACAGCCTCCTGATTGTGAGGCGAGAGCGCCACCTCTAGGCCACCGCACCTTATGTCGGCCGTAAATGCAAGGAGCAATCATACAGCACTTTTTGGAGGCCCCCCCCAAAAAAATTGGTAAATGAATGGTTGTAATGGGTGTAGAGTTGCAAAGCCCTAATCCTAACCCTAACCTGTACATCATGATTTCCCCGGGATACAGGGATGAAGGTTTTTAATCAAAGATCCCTCTTCTCCCCTAGATTTTGGGTTTGCACAGCACATGTCTCCCAGGGACGAGAAGCACGTGCTGAGGGGCTCCCCCCTTTACATGGCCCCCGAAATGGTGTGCAGTCGGCAATACGATGCTCGGGTGGATTTGTGGTCAGTGGGCGTGATCCTCTATGGTAAGAGAAGTTGAGCTATAAGGTAACCCTCCCTGTCACTTTTTTCTGTGAACATTCTTGTACATATTGAAACACACACCCATACATTTGTAATATCTATCATCTATCATATCTAGCATCTAGCATCTTATCTCTCTATATATCTATCATCTATATCATCTTTTCTCTCTATATATCTATCGTCTAGCTATCATCTTATCTATCATATCTATCCTATCTTTCATCTTATCTCTCTATATATCTATCATCTAGCTATCATCTATCATATCTATCATCTATCTTTCATCTTAACTCTATATCTATTGTCTATATCATCTTATCTATTATCTTTCGTCTATCATCTTATCTCTCTCTATATCTATCATCTATCATCATCTATCATATCTATCATCTATCTATCATCGTACCTCTCTACATATCTATCATGTATCTATCATCTTACCTCTCTCTATATCTATCATCTACCATCTTTTCTCTCTATATATCTATCGTTTATCTATCATCTTATCTCTCTATATCTATCATCTATCATCTTATCTATATATATATATTGTCTATCATCATATCTATCATCTATTTTTCATCTTTTCTCTCTCTATATCGTTTATCTATCATCTTATCTCTCTATCTATCATCTTATCTGTCTATATATCTATCGTCTATCATCTTATCTATCATATCTATCGTCTATCATCTATCGTCTGTCATCTTATCTCTCTATATATCTATCGTCTATCTATCATCTATCATCTATCATCTATCATCTATCATCTATCATCTATCTTTCATCTTATCTCTCTATATATCTATCGTCTATCATCTTTTCTCTCTATNCTTCCTCTCTATCTTCCTCCCTCTCTCTCCCTTCCTCCTCTCTTTCTCTCTCTCCCTCTCTCCCTTTCTCTCTATCTTCCTCCCTCTCTCTCCCTTCCTCCTCTCTTTCTCTCTCTCCCTCTCTCCCTTTCTCTCTATCTTCCTCCCTCTCTCTCTTTCTCTCCCACTCCCTCCCTCTTTGCCTCTCTCCCTTCCTCACTATCTTCCTCCCTCCCTCTCTTCCTCTTTCTCTCCCACCCCCTCCCTCTTTCCCTCTCTCTCCCTCCCTTTCTCTCTCTTCTTCGCTCTCTCCTGCTCCCTTTCTCTTCCTCCCTCTCTCTCTCTTCATCTCCCCCTCTCCCTTTCTCCCTCATTCTCTTCGTCTCCCTTTCCCCCTTCCTTTCTCTCCCCCTTCCTCTCTCTTTCTCCCTCTCTCCCCTTCTTTCTCTCCCTCTCCCTCCCACTTTCCCTTTCTCTCTCCCTCCCTCCCTCCCTCTATCTCCCCCTCTCTTTCTCCCTCCTTCCCCTTCTCCCACTCTTTCTCTCTCTCTCCCACTCCCTCCCCTCTTTTCCTCCTCTCTCCCTCTCCCTCCCTTTGCTCCTCTATCTCCCCCTTCCCTCCATCTCTTCCCCTATCCCTCTCTCTCTCATTCTCTTTCCATCCCTAGCCATGATTACAGTTCTCACTCACGTAAGGCATTCTGGGCTTAGCAGTCCTCAGCCGTCATCTCTGTCAATCTGGGGCAGGAGGTATTGTATTTTTTGGATTATAAGATGCACCTGGCTATAAAACATACCTACATTTAGAAGAGGAAAGCAAAACAAAAAAGATTTTTGTGCTCTGCACACCTCATTTGGGAGGAAGGGTGGCCCTTTTCCAGCTTTTTATTTATTCCTTTTTGTGGGTTTTTGGCCCATTTTGGAGGCTTTTCTTGGCCCATTTTTTGGGGGGGAAAACAGCCCCAAAAAAGCCTCAAAAACACCCTGAAAAAAAACCTTGAAAACGGGCCAAGAAAAACTGGGGGAAAAACCAGCCCCCAAAAAGCTGAGAAAAACCTTGAAAACGGGCCAAGAAAAGCTGGGAAAAACAGCCTGAAAACAGCCGAAAAAACGGGCCAAAAAAAGTCCTGGAAAAAGTGTGCGAAGGCCGAAAAAAAAATGGCCGGCAGGTGGGCGGGGCTTCAGCAATATTCAGTCTATCAGACGCACAGACATTTTCACCCCCTTTTGGGAGACAAAAAAAGTGTGTCTTATAGTCCGAAAAATACGGTAGTTCGTACGTCCTGAAATCCTTGTGCTTGAACAAGCCCATCAGGGAGCGAGAGAACGAAGGGGAAGCCCCAAACAGTCCAGATTTCACACGCCAAGTGGACTTTGCAAATTCAATTGGTTGTTCTCGATTATGGCTGGCATCAGTTCAGTTCAGTTCAGTTTATTGTATTTGTATGCCGCCCTTTTCCCCCGGAGGGGGACTCAGGGCGGCTCACAACTCAGGAGGAAACTCGGGGCCCTCCTTCTCTATCCGAGCTCTTAGACTATCTTTACAGAGTTTGCTGATTGTGCAAGGAGGCTTTTGCACAGAACTGACGGCTCGTCTTGTATTTCTGGATCTTGGGTGTGTCAGTCACACGTGCAGAATTTACCAGCGGTGTCTGCAGACTTCATGACGCCGCAGTTTATGGGCCAGGAAACCCAACCGCATCCATGAACCAAGTTGGACGTATTCTGTAGTTCTGGCTTTGATAGAAGACAGTTTTATTTTTATTTATTAAATTTATTTCCTGTATCAATTCGCAAAGCCCCCTGGGTTAAAAATCAGAAACCCTCTTCCCTGATTATCCAATTATGGAATCAGTTATTCCTGCCTCAAAGCTGCTTTTTCAAGAGGCAGCTGGACTTTTCCACGGTTTTTCCTGGAAAATGTTTCCCTTCTCATCCCATGAATCTGCGGGAACCGATGAAGCTTCTTGGACGAGAAGCGAAATGCCTCCCAGGAAAAACCGAAAAAGTCCTGTCACCTTTTGAAAAAGCAACTTCGAGATATAACGGTGAGCTGGATGACTGAGGATCTCCATAGGCAGAATAACAGAATTGGAAGGGACCTTGGAGGTCTTCTAGTCCAACCTTCTGCTCAGGCAGGAAGCCCCATACCATTATGAGCCGCGGTGGCGCAGTGGTTAAATGCAGCACTGCAGGCTACTGCTAGATCAGCAGTTCAGCGGTTCAAATCTCACTGGCTCAGGGTTGACTCAGCCTTCCATCCTTCCGAGGTGGGTAAAATGAGGACCCAGATTGTTGGGGGCAATATGCTGACTCTCTGTAAACCGCTTAGAGAGGCCTGAAAGCCCTATGAAGCGGTATATAAGTCTACTGCTATTGCTATTGCTATTGCTATTGCTATTGGTTAGAGTGCAGTACTGAAGGCTACTTAAGCTGACTGCTAGCTGCCAAAAAAATAAGTTTGGCAGTTCGAATCTCACCAGGCTCAAGGTTGGCGCAGCCGTCCATCCTTCCGAGGTGGGTAAAATGAGGACCCAGATTGTTGGGGGGAAATAGGCAGACTCTGTAAACTGTTTAGAGAGGGCTGTGAAGCGGTATATAAGTCTAAATGTCATTACAATTGCAGACAAATGGCTGTTCTGTCTCTTCTTAAACACCTTCAGTGTTGGAACATTCACAACTTTCTAGATATTTATCTCTGGCTGCTACTGCCTGTAAAAGCACCACACCTTTAGACCAAACAGGCTTCTCTGGAGCAAATTCTGCAGCAGAAGATGTCACGGCTCCAAATAGCATCCAAAAGTAAATCAGAGTCCGAGGCAAAACATTCCTCAAAGTTCCAATTTATGAAGAGAGCCATGTTGGCACATCTGGGGAAACCAGAATCTGAAAGCTTCCCGGTTTTCCCCACCTAGTTGAAAGTTCAAGATCTCACCCGCATACCCACAAGTCCATCACGTGGTCCAATTTCCCCCTGCCATGATGGCAATTGCTCCCATCCAGTTCCGGTCAGGTGCAGAGACAAAGGATGACCTTGGCTTTCTAGAAAGGATTTTGCTATGGCTACTTCTCATCTAATTCCGTACAATCTCCCCCCTCCCATTTTCCCACCATAGAAAAGGCATAGTAAAACAATAGATTAATAGAAAGTTTGACTTTGACACCCCCTGTCTTAGAGGAACCTGTAAGGGTCTTCGATACCGCTGGCCTCCAGTCTTGTTTCTCCGGTTCCCAGAGCAATCCGAATTCCTACTCATTCAATATTCCCCTCACTTCCTTTTTCTTCCTCCAGTGGCTGGATTTTGGCCCTCTCCGCGACCCCAAACCTGGCCGTGAAGATTATCATGATGGTGGTCGCAATGTTCTTCACCACTTGCGCCGTGCTCTCTCTCTTCCTGCTGAAACGAGTGAGTTGGGAAGACAAATGATTGACAGGGGTCTAGAAGCCTGCTGCAGAGCTGGCAGCAGATTCGGACAGTGAGGAGGTTGGGGAAGAACCTGGGCTAGTCCTGGAGTCTGCAGAAGGCTCGGATGAGGGCTCTGTGTCGGAGGCAGAGAGTGGGCCAGGACCGTCTGACAGTTATCAGCTGCCTTCAGAGTCAGTGAGGCAGAGGAACAGATGGAGCCTGTTCCCAGTGTGCGCATGCGCAGAGCTGCCAGACGAAGGGAACAGCTAAAGAACAGGGGTCGACTTGGGAGTAAGGCCACAGGTGGACGATGAATGGCCCCTCCCAGAGGGAATAAAAGAGGAGCGAAAGGGGAGGGGAGTTTGCAGGAGACAGTAAGTTCCCTTAATTGGTTGTGACTCTCCGAGACTCCTTGCCAAGTTTTGCAGAGATTGGCCTGGCAGCTCTCCAAGCCAGATAAGGTCTGTGACTGTAAATCCTCCCTGGAAAGACTTTGCTGGATGTGAAGGAGCAGAATTCACAGTAGGAAGCCTAGGTCAGAACAATCACATCTCTTTGGTAGATTGTACGTAAATAGCAACAACAACAACAAGAAGCTTCTTGGCAATTTTGCCCTTGTTGTGTTTCATTTGTTTCTTTCAAAACAAAACATACTAAAATACCAAATCCAAGCACATCACTTTGGCGGATTGTACATAAGCAGCAGAAGCAATAACAAGCCCCTTGGCAATTTGGCCCTTTTGGGGTTTTATTTATTTTAAATAAATCCTCCGAATTCCATCAGCCGGCCAGTGTCGACTGGCGACTACCCGGAGGAGAGCCTTCTCTGTGGCTGCTCCGACCCTCTGGAACGAACTCCCCATGGAGATTCGAACCCTCACCACCCTCCAGGCCTTCCGCATAGCCCTTAAAACCTGGCTGTTCCGACAGGCCTGGGGCTAAAGACTGTAACCCACCCGAATGGTATGATTGTTGTGCTTTTAACTATGTATGGTTTTTATGTTTTTTGTTACTCTGTTTGTATTTCCCCTCCCTTTTGAGTTGTGAGCCGCCCTGAGTCCCTCCATGGAAAAGGGTGGCATACAAATAAATTAAACCTAAACCTAAACCTAAAATTAGCAAGAAGTCTACCCCACCCGTCTCGTCCAATAGGAAGATGAGAAGGGTTTTGCCATGCAAAGGGAACAACTAAAGAACAGGGGTCGACTTGGGAGTAAGACCACAGGGAGAGGATTTTTAACCGGGGGCAATTTGAACCTTGTTTAAACCAAGTTAATGGCATTTTGGGCTTCCTTCACGTGAGGAGAGTTCACTTTTCGATTAAAAGGATTATACGTCCCCGGTGGGGCGGGGGGGAGAAGCATCGGGATTTCAGAAATGCTTAGGTGTGGCATAGCCAAAAGAAAAGTTTGTAGACCATTGCTTTAAACGTTTGCTCAATGAAGGGTCGTAATTCGACCTGTACAACATTTGCATTAATGGCCAGATTCCCGCCACCATTATTATTACGCTGCTGATGTTGGGATTGTAGATTGTAGATAAGTTTATTTATATGCCGCCCTTTTCCCTGGGGGGACTCAGGGCGGCTCACAACTTAAAAGGGGGGGGGGAGGAAAACAACTTTTACATATAAGACAATACATAATTAAAAACACAACATTCATACCATTCGGGCGGGTTACAGTCTTAACCCCAGGCCTGACGGGATAGCCAGAGTCTGAGGGCTGTGCGGAAGGTCTGGAGGGTGGTGAGGGTACGAATCTCCACGGGGAGATCGTTCCATAGGGTCGGAGCTGCCACCGAGAAGGCTCTCCTCCGCGTGGTCGCCAGTCGACATTGACCGGCAGATGGAACTCGGAGGAGGCCTAATCGATGAGATCTAATAGGTCGCGTGGAGGGGGGGGGTGTCTCCTCCAGTGGAACGAGGAATTCTCTAGATCTTTCCCGGTGGGGCTTTTTGCTGAATTTCTCCCCTTGCTTCCCGAAGGTCCACTCGCTTTATCGCCGGACAGGCGCCAGCTTCCAGAGAGCGCAGGAAGAATTCTCCCAGGGCATCCTCACCAACAGGAACTTTCAGTCGGCCGCCGGTGGGGCAGCTTCCGCCGCGGCTCAGAATGCTTTCCGGGGAAACTGAGCCCGACCCCAGCGAGGCTCCTGCTTCCATTCGTACACGGTACCTGATCTCGCCCCTCCACGTTCAGGCGATTCCCTCCCCACCCCGGGTGGGCAAGCCCTTACTTAACTCCCAAGAGGCTCGCGGGGAATTTCCTCCCCCACTTTGCCCTGCCTCCATCCGCGCCTTGTTGGAAAGTGTAAAATTTGGGGTGCCTAACCTTCAGTGTGATTCCCCCCCCCCCTATTCCCTTCCAATATACTTTTTTTTTTCTACTTAAACGTATATATTTCCTGCACTTTTCCATTTCTTCCATTGCCGGCGTGTGTTTTTGGGGGGGAGGGAGCGATTTTTGCACTCCCGACTCTCCCGCTGGAAGCATCAACTGAACCATCCCTTCGTCTTCCCGGCTGCTGCCTTTGATTATTTTTTAATTAATTAGCCAAAGATCGTTAACTGCCAGTGTAGGACGAACATACCGGCTGTTTTTCCCCCCCCCCCCTAGTGTTGATGTTTTTCTGGGTGATGTGAAACACCCAAATTCATAGAAGGCACTCCTCGCTCCTTTCCCCCACCCCCTCCCTCCCTTTATAGCCCTCAAATCAAAACAGGTTTCCGATCTGGGTTTGAAATTTCGGATCGCCGGAGAGGATAAATGTCTTATTCACCAGCAACATTGTGGTTCCCCGTGGATTTTGAAAGGAGGCGATTGGGGGGGTTTCAGGTGTAACAGTGAAGCAAATACTTGAGTTGAAAGGGGAAATAATTTCTAATTTGAGTGATCCCGGCGCTGTCATATCTGCTCCGGTCTTCCCCAGCCTCCTCGCCCAGCCTCGATGCAACCCCCAAAGCGAACACTTCTCCGAAAAGAGCACGTTAGCAGAAGCTCCTATTTCTCAATTAATAATAAAATAAATAAAATAGGCCTATGGAAGCACCTCTTCTGATTTTTACCAGCTTTTTTTTTTTTTCAGTGACTCTGGTTTCAAAATAAAGTTTGAAGAGAAAAGGGTCTGGTTTTAGCCCAGGCTCCTTTGAGGCAGAATGGATGACAGGCGGCTGCGTCGAAAAAAAATCGCGATTCTCGTTTTATTCAACCCCAAAGCTTTGAACGACAGCCGTTAAAAAAAACACCTTTTTGAGGCTCCCCCTCAAGAGGCCCATTTTGAGTTCTCTGCAAAACGAATCAGTGTAAAAGGAAAACTTTGAGAAGATCCCTCCTCATCTGATAGGCTGGATCGATCGATCGACTTGAAATTGGGGATATAGCTCTCAAAAAACACTAAACACTTTGATTACTTCTGTAAACCTTAATTAAAGCCATCTCAGAAGCACACCTAAGGCTTTTAAATATCTTTTTAATAGATCCAATGAAGGAAGAGCATTCAGAGAACTTAGATGAGGTTGCAATTTCCCTAACCCTTGCTTTTTAATCATTTAGGTAAACCTTGGGTGTCTTTCTCCTCCCCAAAAATACATAGGTGTTTGGGCTGAGGTGTTTCCCCACCACCACCACAGATGTTTCCAAACTTTTGTGAGATCGGATGTACCCTGGTGCATCATCTCTTGGTTTCTGTCTTCTTTTTTATTTTTTTATTCTTCTTCTTCGAAGATATGTAATGATGGCAGAAATGAGATTTTTTTAAGAAAGGAAAAACCTTCCCTTCTCTGATGTATTTTTCACCTCTTAATTTTTTTTTTGGTTCCTGTAAAAAAAAAAAATTGTATATGTCAAAACTTTTGTGGTTAAATGCAGAATAAAAATATAAAGACTTAGTAGAAACGTTCTTTTTTTTTTTTTTAATTGTGTTGTTTCTTGGAAGGGCATTAAGCATTGGAGCTGTTGTGTTACTCTTATTTTGCCTTGTCTGGTTCTGGTTCCCAAAGATCTTGATGAGGGTGCCTTTCAAAAGATAAAACGGGGGCAACGCAAACTGATTTCTGAAGGCAGCTGCCGAGGGATGGTACAGCCTTTATTGTCATTGTACATCATGTATACAACGGAATTGGTTTGAGCCTCACTGGTGGAATCCGTGACACAAAGTACCAACAACAGAAATAGTATAAATAATAATCCCTATGCAAGTAATTAGGAAAAAAGAAGAAGGAAGGAAGGAAGGAAGGAAGGAAGGAAGGAAGGAAGGAAGGAAGGAAGGAAAATGATGATGAGGGAGGGAGGGAGGAAAGTGATGAGAATGGGGGGGAAGGAAGGAAGGAAAGAAAGAAAAAGAGAAAGAAAGAAAGAATTAGTCATATGTTTCCGTGGCTGCATGGAGTGATTGTGGTTGTGTTTAAGAGTCTTGACAGGCCAAGGATAGAAACTATTTTTAAATCCTGGCGATTGGCCCAGCGGTGCTCTCACGCCTAAGGTGAAACTAGAACTCACCCTGCTGGGTTTCCTGCCTAAGGCAGGACTGGAACTCCCTGTCTCCTGGTAATTAGCCCACAGTCACCCAAGTGGGGTTTCTTGCCTAAGGCAGGACTAGAACTCAACACTCCTGCTGATCGACTCAAAGCCACCTAGCTAGGTTCCCAATGCCTAAGGTACTAGAACTCACCGTCTCCCGGTAAATGGCCCAAAAACTCATGCAGCTGGCTGTCATGCCTAAAGTGGAACTACAATTCACCATCTCCCGGTCATTGGCCCATAGTCACTCAGCTGGCTTTTGTACCGAAGACTAGAACTCACTATCTCGTAGTCACCCAACCAAGTGGAACTAGAACTCGCCGTCTCCTGGCTTCTAACCTGGTGCCTTCACTACTGGAGCAAAACCAGGGTTAAGGGGCTTCATCTCAACCTCTATAAAAAAGATGTTGAGGCTCTAGAAAGATTGCAGAGAAGAGCAACCAAGACGATTAGGGGAGTGGAGGCTCAAACATACGATGGACATTTGCAGGAACTGGGCCTGGCTAGTCTAGGGAAGAGAAGGACCAAGGGGGACATGATAGCAGTCTCCCAATATTTGAGGGGCTGCTACAGAGAGGAGGGGGGTGTTCAAGCTATTTTCCAAAGCACCTGAAGGTTAGAGAAGGAACAATGGATGGAAAGTGACCAAGGAGAGATTCAACCTGGAAATAAGGAGGAATTTCCTGACAAGGAGAACAATCAACCCATGGAACAGAAGTTGCCTTCGGAAGTTGTGGGAGCTTCATCCCTGGAGGCTTTCAAGAAGAGACTGGACTGCCATCTGTCACAAATGGGGTANAGCACCTCTGTAAATCCCTGTATATAGTCCCTATATATATAACTTCAAAGGGGTTACAAGCATTATCAAATAGATCAGGAGGAAGAATATTGTAGTCAATTCCAGGATAGCTTGTATACCAAAATTTACTGTAACTTATATAGACGTGAGACTGTTCTAACATGCAACTGGACCCGACCTTATCATAACTGGAAAAATTTCCTTTTAAGGTTTGAATACTAAACATGTAAATTTAGCATAACATTGAAATTTTTTGCAGCCATATCACATTGCTAATTCTGTCCCTATAGTTTGATCTTTTCAAAATAGTATACATCAAATACTGTACATTTCTTAATGCACTTGTTTTTATTTCCTGAGTGAAAAACTTTACCCTAATCTCTGCTAAATATCATAGCTAAATCTATTGAGATATTTAACATTGTTTCTACTTCTAACTTTTAGAAATACTGCAGCACTTCCTTTGATATCCCTCTATAATTGCTCGAGAATCACCATTCTTTTGTTTATGATTTTGTTTAACCAGTCACATTTTCACTAAATTGTCATGTTACATGGTTCACATTTATCTAGTTTGCTAATCAGAATTTTTAAATGGGGTTAAAAGATAAGTCTCTCCTATAAATAAGATCTCCTATAAATTTTCTATGTCTAGTGTGATCCAATGTATCATTTTTCTTCTCTTGAACATATTTTGAACATAATTTGCTTTCTTCCATTCATCTGGCAGTTCACCAGTTGTATTACTTTTATTTAATCCTAACTTACATGAAACCTCTTCTCAAGGGTTTTGTGTTGCAGAAACATTTTACAATTACAATACATTTATTGAGGCACTACAGTATTAAAACAATTTCAAATGTTATCTTGTGATACACTAAAAGTTGTCAAAGATTTCTAGCTGGTTTTTTATTCTTTAAGAACAAAACAATATTTTTAGTCTTTCAAAATTCCTAGCTAGAGTGTCATTTGAAAAAAGACAAACGTTTGGAAACGATGGAATAAGTACCAGAAACTTTGCTTAGCCAGCTTAAAGATGGCAAGGCGGGGGAGGAAGATATAATAGATTGTGATCTACTCACCTATAGGAATGCAATGAAACGTAAGAATCTTTCAGTGCATGAAACAACAAAAAATCTAACTGGCACATGCTGTTTATTTTTCCCTATCATTGTACCACCAAATATAAAACTGGAAGTGACTTATCCATCCTGACTGTTGGGTTGGTTATGCTAAAATGCAAGAAATTACTACATTGCCAATTTTTAAAAAGAAGTTATTCCTTTATTCAATGTAATTGTTGGAGTAGAGGTTCTTTTTCTCTTATGTTCTCTTTCACTATTTCCCCTTATATTTTCAGCCTCGTTGGTTAATGCAGAGGTTTAATTAATTAATAATTCTATGTAAATATTCTCCCACTTATTTTGTATGCACCCTTAAAATAGAATTTGGTTTTTATCATTCACCACACGAAGCCTCATCATGCTAATAATTTTGAACAGATGTAATTTTCTGTTTCTTTTTGTTGGAGACCTCTTCAAGATTGCTCAGGTGTTTAAATTTAAACATAAGAAATTCCAAATTCAGGGCCAATATAAGCATTGCATGAGAAAGAAAACATCTAAAAGTTTTCATTTCCTCTCCCTAATTCTTATTTTTATGCTATGTTTCATTTGACTACCTATTAAATTTTATTGTTTTTTAAATGGATCTTAACAATTAACAAATTGCTTAACAATTGCATCTTGTCTTAAAAGATACAATGGCCACAATTTTGGCATCTCAAGATTCTCTGAAACACTAAAGAGATGGTATCCATAATATATGACTCCAAAAATCATCTGGAATTCATTGACATACTGGGAGCTAAATTAAACCTCATATACTTGCTAAGTCAAACAGACAGTTTGGGTTGCTATTTATAAATTGTGATTTCAAAAAAAAGTTATGGTATTTGTTTTGCTTTCCTGCCCAATTTAAATTAATGTTCTTTTCTTTACTTTCAAAGATTGTTCCCTTTAATAAGCACTAAGAAATATGGTGCATATATATGGTATTTATTTTCCTGTGGTTTGCTAGTTTCTGAACTTTCACCTTTACAATGATTCTATCTGTGTTAACTGTTTGCTACTAGTTTCTGCTGTTTTCTGGCTTCATTCTATTCTCTTGGATAAGGATAGCCCGTGTCAGAAAACCAGACCAAATGATGCAATTCTCAACTTAGTATGTGCACATCATATAAATCTAATTAATAGAGATGCAGTGGAAAAACTAGCGGCTCTTGATCTTCTCTAATATTCCTATTCCTCTTGCCATGTATAAGTGAACAAGAAATATATCTATAACTAATCCTAGGGTAAAAGAATGAAGGACTTTTGCAAAATACAATGTATATGCATACATATTCTACATTATTTCAAATGCAGATTTTGAACTTGGTCACTTTTTATTAACTTCAGGTCCTTTCTGGGTATTAGGGCTTTATAAGCAGTGCCCTGTGGTGCTTCTGTACAAAATACTGTTTTATTTAGGAACCCGATCAATTTCATCCATATGTACTTTAAGTTCAGTTCTAGAGTTCATAATTGTTTTTGCTGATAAGATTCGGTATCTGGTAATTCATAAAGACAAGTTCCTCTTGGTAGTGGCCCATAGCTACTTCTTAACTAGTAATCAAAATAATCACCATGAGCTTGATGGTGTAAACTAATCTCCACAAATACATTCAAAATAACTCAATTTTTAATACTTTATGGAAAGCCTGTAAAATTAGGATATGTTAAATTTCTGCAAGAAGATTGTTTCAACTGAAGGTATACCCATAGAAAAAGATAGCCCTATGAACCTCAACCTCAAATTTTCCCAGGTTATCAGTGCTGATTGGATTGAAAATAAATGGAAAAGGTATTTCAGGAAATATTCAGGTGCTATGCCATGTACAGTTATAAAGATCAAGGCCAGCACTTTGGCTTGTAATTAAACTAATAGCTAGCTAGCACAGCAATGCTATCTTTCAACTGGAATTGAAATCCACACATCTGATGAGCACAAAAATTGAAAAAAGCTGCATAGTGGAGCACCTTATCATATTGATAAATTAATGAACTTCTTCATTTGGTGGACAGTATGTTGTTGATAAATCTATAATGATTAGAAATGTAGGAAGAAATATCTATCTGGTTCAGTTCTAAGCCAGGAGAAAGACTCTGGAAATATGGAGGCTGATTGGAAAGATGGTTTAATGATGAAGCAGAACCACATGGGTTCTTGGCAGCTGACAAAATGGAGTTGAGAGGGGTGGGGTGTTATACTTTATTTATAAACTTGAGCATCCTGTTTCTGTGCAAGAAAATGTAGTCTGTTGTTACACTCCCAAGGGGCCATGTAGGGTTATGTAGGGGTCATATCTGGGTCTATAGGCAAAGTACAAATCCTAGGTGTTTGTCTGAGCTAAGATTGGTT